ATCAGGGGCGGTGGAAGGAGGCCGAGCAACTGGGAGTGCAAGTGGTGGAAACGAGAAAGAAGGAGCTCGGCGAGAAGCATCCTGACACGCTGACCGGCATGGCGAACCTGGCGTCGACGTACAGGAACCAGGGGCGGTGGAAGGAGGCCGAGCGGCTAGAAGTGCAAGTGGTGGAAACGAGAAAGAAGGAGCTCGGCGAGAAGCATCCTGACACGTTAACCAGCATGGCGAACCTGGCGTCAACTTATTCGAACCAGGGACGGTGGAAGGAGGCCGAGCAGCTGGAAGTGCAAGTGATGGATGCCAGTGCAAAGGAGCTCGGCGAGAAGCATCCTTCTACGCTGACCAGCATGGCGAACTTGGCGTCAACTTATTCGAACCAGGGGCGGTGGAGGGAGGCCGAGCAGCTGGAAGTGCAAGTCTTGGAGGCCAGTGCAAAGGAGCTCGGCGAGAAGCATCCTGACACGCTGACCAGCATGGCGAACCTGGCGACGACCTACAGGAATCAGGGGCGGTGGAAGGAGGCCGAGAAGCTTGGAGTGCAAGTGATGGAAACGAGGAAGAAGGAGCTCGGCGAGAAACATCCTTCTACGCTGACTAGCATGGCGAGCCTAGCGTCAACGTACAGGAATCAGGGGCGGTGGAAGGAGGCCGAGCAGCTGGGAGTGCGAGTGGTGGAAACGAGAAAGAAGGAGCTTGGCGAGAAGCATCCTGACACGCTGACCGGCATGGCAAACCTGGCGTCGACATACTGGAACCAGGGGCGGTGGAAGGAGGCCGAGCAGCTGGAAGTGCAAGTGATGGAGGCGAATGCGAAGGAGCTCGGCGAGAGGCATCCTGACACGCTGACCAGCATGGCGAACCTAGCATTCACTAAGAAATCTCAGGGCCGCGACATTAATGCTGCTAAGCTCATGGAGGACTGCTGTAGGCTGCAGCGAGAGGTGCTAGGTTCCAAGCATCCCAATACTCTCTCATCAATCGAGACTCTACGGAAGTGGCGGCAGGAGAAGGAATCTGCAGTAACAGGAACAGGAAGTTTTAGATCTTGGAGGAATGCATTTCAGAGGCTCAGGAAGTAAGTTCGGTGGTGCATTGAATAAAGCAGTGGTATAGGTCTCAAGACACAAAATCATGGGGCGCTCTCTGTAAGATGTCACGTGTAACTATAACTACTCTGCTTGTAAGATGACATTTAATTTTACGTGCAATAGGGTTTTAAGGTTATCACAAATCACCCGCACAAACAGAGAGGACAGCAACCCGCTCCGGCCACACCGTTGTGTGAGGTTGTCACTACAGCAAGTACGCGTGATGAGTGTTGACTGGGTGCTATTCTAAGGTTGCGATCGACATCAGGTTCGCCATTGGGCTGATGCTAAGCTTTGGACGGCATTATTCCCTCGTACCTCGCCGTACCATCACAGTGAACAAAGACGGGAGCCACACCTACAATCTTAAACCAGATAGGCATAACGCATAATGAATACTAAGGATTAGGATCCTTGTATCACACAGATGAGACAGAAATGTGTACGCTCGACTAGCGTCTACTAGAGTTCATAGCAGCCCTCTCTCGGATCAGATTGTGCTTTGCTGCTTCCGGCCTTCGTCCGTTCCATACGCAAGTAAATTCATGAAGATCCCTATGTTATCATCTTCTTAGGCAGCATACTGTATTGCATCTAAAAACAGATATAAAGCAGTCTGATTACCAAACCCAATGCTCCCCATCTGGCAACCTCTTAATTTCTTCTGTCGTCTTCTCTGCGCGGTGGGTGTTTTGACCTGTCTCGACATCGTACTTTTCAATCCAGCGACCACAATCCAACCATATTACCTTCACACCAATGAGGGGCTTAAGGTCGGGCTTTTCTGGTAATCCGCGCAGAAATAATGACCTTAAAGACCTTCGGTGCGGAGATGGAAGAGGGCCCCGCGACCCGGCAAAATCCAAAAACACACGACGACTCGAAAACGCCCAAGTGTTGCGTCTGTAAGGTAGGAGAGCAGTCTCCTTGTAGAGCTGCCGGCATGCAACGTTGAGAAGCGTCATACATTTTTCAAAAGGTGGTCGTGTTGTCTCGCATTGTAGTTGTGCGTTAAATGGGTTGACGCCTTGTCTATAAACGACACATTGGAAACATTTCCTAAATACTGCTGTCCTGTCCCTCGACTCGACATAGATTGTTTTGCCGCCAAGCAGATGCTCGTAAATCATGCAGCGGATCTCGGCTGGCAGCCGTAAGAAGGGAGAGCTCTCCTGGTTCCGGTACCATCTAGATAGTGATCAGTTTAATAGGTTGATCGGGCGAAAGTGAACTTTTAGCTTACTTACACTTTAGCATATCTTGAGCGTTTTTGAACTCGATGACAAATAATTCCGTTAGGGTGATACCGTGGTGGCAAGGGCGCTTCCATTGTCAATGCTGGCAATTTGACAGCGCTTTGGTGTTGAACGATTGAAAGAAAACTAAGCCGGGGTTTTGCGGGGGTTTTTAGCTCCCCGCTGAGCCTGATTTAAGCGCCCGCTAGCCATGGAAAAAAGCTAAACCAGTCACAGCTGAAGGCTGAGCTTGAAGATTCTTGGCGCTCACCGCGTGTGACCATATGCTCTCGGCGGCAGCCACGCAAACTCAGGCTCTGTTATTGCCTCCCCTAAAAATTTAACGCCTCTCGCACACCCCGATAGTCAGAGTCAGTCAACGGCCCTCCCTATTAGAGTAGGGTAACTGTGGTAAGCTTTGGGTACCTCTACTGTTATATTCCTACTCCTCATCAAACTGAGAAAGGACCAACTTAGTAGAGTTCTGGCTTGAAATTGATCACGTGATAGAATCTTATGGAGACGGCGAGCCTGCCACGTCCCAGTGACAGCGAACCCTACTTCGCGAAGCCATGTATGAAGCTTAAAACGAAGTCTATTATCCAATATCGGATTTGTTTAGTAATTCAGGGTCGATCGTTGTAAACGACCCCGTCCACTTTTGTATTTAGTGTCGGCGACTTCGTCGCCGTAATAGGCTTAACTATTACAATTAGTTATTCAGGTCCTTCAAGGCATTTCGGACGGCCTAATCGAACTGCAAGAGCCTCGTCATGAACTAAACCACCTGAAAATCTCTTTGAGTCAATAAGAAACGAGATATCTACGGGTAGCGCGATATCCGTACAAAATGCAGAAAAATTGCTTGAGACAATCTCAAGGAGCCGAAAGTGTTAAGCGATTTAAAAAATCTTGTCCATAAATATGCTAGGTCATGTACGGGCTTCGCAAAATATCGCAAGTGGGTTGTATGGGTTATATGGAAGAAACAAAGGGTTGAGACGTTCCAGAGACACCTGTAAAGCTATATCGCAACGCTAAGTATGATACAAAGCGGGGTGAACAGGTAAGAGGTCCGATTCATTAACTCTTCAAGTAAGAACTTACTTTCGTCCAGGCGAGAAATTCGAGAGTTGAATGACCAGTGGTAAACAGGACTGATAACATCTCCTCTCTACTCCCCCAAACCAGAGAAGAAATGAATATGCATCTTCACATGGCGCTCATTTAGCCATGGGATGAAAAGCCTTTATTCTTTAAGACGCAATTGGGCGACGATACCCAGCCCTTTGGAGGCAGGGCAAAACTTTGAAGTAATTAAAGCCTTACCTTTGTTTGAGCAGAAGCTGAGACTTGAAGGTTTTCATCCCCTTCTTAAAGTTCGGCTTTAGAGAAAATATCGTATCCGATTATATCGAGCGGCAGGAGCGATGACCTTTTACTCCAGCCTCGAACGCTGACAGGTGGTACTTAATCAACGAGCTGGATTGGACTTCCATACTACCACCCAGGCTATGTCTTGACATGTCAATAAATTTACAATGAAAAATCGCTAGCGAATTCGCTTTGGTGACCGACCATTTTAATCCGACACCGTTGACCGTGGGTGCTCTGCGACGCTCCAAGTTAGTTAAAGTTTCCTTCTTTTGCTTACTCATTGGCTTGTAGAACCTACCAGGACGGACATAATACACGATCAGAGGAAGCAAGCTACCTGCTAGACTCCTTCATGTGTTTCACTAAACAAACTCCACCATGGTCGGTATTACCAGATGACCTGGAGTTCGGATGGCTGTATACGGAATCCCTTTTTATTGACATAGCATTCCTCTAATTCTTTTCAAGGTCGAAACCAGCGCCATGGGACCTACAGTATTAACGACGAGGTTAACGAAGATAGCGGGGAGGACGAGAGCGAGGGAATATTTCTGGCATACCAGGACATTGAATCTGATGGTGAAGCCAGTGTCCGGTATGGGCAGGTGGACCACCGGCAGGTGCTCAATGAATGGTTGGCGGGAAAGTCTATATGGAGTTCTCTATCAAATCTGCCCTAGGGCGGGTCGGAGGGTTAATCAATTCACTGCTTAACATCAAGAGTAAGTCACATATCAATACAATGCCACTCAAAATGTGTCCAAATCTATTAAGTTGCTTTGAACCCAAATTTTGCTGCATGATCCTTAATCTAAATCCAGTTTTTGTTCTCCGCACCCTTTACAGAGATTCCGCATGCCGCCCTATTTTAACACGACCTGCCCTACACCATAAGCTTATGCACCCATGAGTCTCAATAATGTCCTCCTGGGGCTTGTTATGGCGATTGGTGATAAGTTCACCTGCTGGCGAGAAAATCCTCTCAGTCTCAGATCTCATTTGGGGTATAGATAGTACGTCCGTTGCCATCCGTACGAGATCTGGCTATTCTGTTCTTACCTCTGGCTTCTTCTAAGAAGCCCAGGGTCGATAGGGTCGTTGCCTCAGGTTTTTACCGCCCACCATGGCAGCAGTCAGGTGTGCATTGATGCAACGACTGTATAAGCACTCCGCTGATAGACAGGCGTTCGGAGTAGGCGCGACAGCGCCTTTTGGATGTTTTTTTATGTTACGTGGCATACCAAAAGGATGGGCGGGCGGCAGTCTCGGTACCTCAATTCACTCTCTCAGCGCCCGAAACTACCTGATAGGGCCTAGCTTCTGCCTAATTAGGCTAGGGTTGAAGCCTCGAGGATGGTGGTGTTGCAATCATGGATATCATTACCGGAAAATTTGCACCTGCAGATCGATTGCCGTTAACACAATACCTAGCATCCTACATCAACGAGGCCCCCATGACTGACATGTCACTTCGTCCAGGACCCAACAATCCCGGCAGAACATATAAATGGTACAACGGGACTGCAATCTTCGAATTCGAGCCTGGAATGCACTACACAAACTTCACCACCGATGTCACCTCTCCTCTCTAGCAATCCTACGACATCTCGAACTTGATCTCAGCATGTCATAGTATCAACGCCACATATCCCGATCACTGTCCCTTCACGTCCTCACCGATTCAAGGCGAAGTCAGGAACACAGGGTACATGAAATCAGACTAAGTCGCTCTAGCCTATTTAACTGGATCATTTGGACCGGAACCATATCCCAACAAAGCACTCGTAGCATAACAACGTTTGTTTTCAATATCAGGGGACGCCTCTAGCACCGCGAACTTGAACCTGATACTTGGGTCTTTGGCTAGAGTTGACGAAAGCGGGAATAAGGTGCTGTATTCTGGAGATTATATATTGTTGATTGATAATCAACCTCTAGCGTCTGTCAATTTCACGTTGACTGGAGATCAGATCGTGTTAGATCAGTTGCCGCAGCCGCCGGCGAATAGGATCGGGAAGGGTGTGAATGGATTTGAAGACTATTTTGTTGGGGGTTATGGGAGTAGGCAGAGTCCTATGCGGGCAGCGTGAAGGGTAGGATGGTTTGTCAAAGTGGCCGTTTGATATCTGAACTAGTTCCGAGAAGCCATAACCTATCCAAATACCTCTAACTAAATGACGAAAGTTCTTGGCAAATGATACTGCGGGACGCAGCCTTGGCAGATAATAAGTATTGCTCTATTTCGTTATTCTCGATGCTGGATTTAAGATGCAGTTCTTTGTTCCCCATGTCCACCTCCCAAATTCACAATTCCATGTTTGCCGATGTAGTACCGCAACCAAGTTTGCAGTTTCTCTTCCAATCGCTTTTAGAATCGGAAAGAATCCTATCCTCAGACGTCTCAATTGGTAAGCGGTCTAATATTCCTCCACTCATTTGCTTAATCTTTCTAATTGTGATTATGCCCGATTCTGAAGCGCTGGGCCCTGAAACGCGGATGGCAACGCGAAATGCTACAATCCAATTCTAAAATGATGGTATGCAAGACGAAAGCACCCAGGTAGCATCCCCTGGCACAGAAAGCCCGACCGCTTCTCAAAATAAACTTTTGGAACACATCAACGGGATCGTGGACGACTTTTCAGATGTGATGATGATGCGTAAGGTATGTCGAGAACCAGTCAATGATCTGGGAGGACAGTTGATGCCATAGCGGGAGGTAATCGAGGAGCTGAAGAGAGAGGTTGGGTGGTGGCTGAGGCATATTGAAGGGGTTGAAGGGGTGGTGGATAAGCCGGTTGAGGAGTTGAAGATGATGGAGGGTTTGGAGCATGAGCTAGCTCTGATGCGCGATATGCTGGCTGTCTACGGGAGTGAAACCACTCGTAAGAAGGCACACCTGTGCCTTATTATTATTTGACATTCTAGGCAAGAGCGCTGAGAAATGAATAGGAAATATCTCACCATTATCCGTGGTTACTCGGTAGTAGGCCTTATGTACCTCTGACCATATCCAATCTCTTGCGGCGGAAGTCTGGCCTGCAGGAGATGCATGGAAGGACGTGACGGTAGTGTATGTAGATTGATGGCCGGATGATGGCCGCGCGTACGGGGACGACGCTTCGAGAAGCCTTGCGGTGCGTTCCCTCTCCTGATACTCCGTTCGCTTTTCGTATTCAGCTTGAATTCTGGCTTGCTCAGTCTTCTCTTCTAGTCGTGAATCTCGATTAGCTATTTGACATTGTCTGCGGTGCGGAACTTACTCTTCTTGAAGCCAAAGTTCTTAACTAACACGAGTAATTGCGTGTCGTTAAGGCGAAGTTGATCTAATCTCGGAAATCCTATGATGACGTCGCATGGTGGGTCTCGAAGAACAAAGAAGTCTTCTGTAAAGCTTCGACTGTTGATATACCAGGAGCAGCGAAACTTCCCAACAATTGTTATATTGCGCCCGTCCGCTGAGGAGAAACCAAATCCTGTATCGGTTTCGATCGGGTAGCCTAAAAGCCTCGCCTTCCCTAGGGCCATGAAGTTACCATCTGACCCTGTATCAACAAATCCCCTCATGGCGTGTGTGTTATTGTGACTGTCCCAAAAGTAAATGTCCCGGTCTCGATCGCGACGGTCGCTCGGATGGCGAGAGCCAATCGTCGTTAATTCATTATTGACGTGATTACAGGTGTTGAAGATGTTCACAGTGACATTACAATTGTTGAGGCTCGGAACTGCACCAAGCCCTCCTTGGACGGCCTGGGAGGTCGCGTAAACAATCGGATCGGTGTTATGGTCCTTATTCGAGGGATAGAGAGCCATGATCGTCGGGTCATACAGTAGGTTGCAGTTGATCTAATCATGGTGAGTTACATAGAAGGGCCATAGAGTGGTTCTCGCGACAATCCTTACCTTCTATGCTCGATACCGACTTGTTCCCTTCGACGTGGACCAGCGCTAGAGGCGAGCCCTAAAGGGAAGCTATAGGGGTCAGAAAAATGGGAGAGCGGGCGTGAGATTTGAGAGCCTTGGAAGCGGGGCAGCATGAAAGTTGCGATAAGCAGTAAAGCGTCTTGGATGCTGCAAGGCTGAGGCTCAACTCGGCAGTCCACTTGCTGCCTAGAGGGTATTGAACGACATGTCAACACCCACCATCTCAACCAGAGAACGATCTATGCCCGTCCGGAATCGTCTGGGTTGCTGGCGAAATAAATAACGCCATGGCACTGGGCGATATCCAAGATGGCTATCCAGGCCTGGCCAAATTCATGGGTCCACATTTCGACTCTGGAATGGGCCTCTTCAAGCGATTCGCAGACCTCAATGCTCGCAATTTGCTGTATATGCAAGCGGAACTAGTAAACCTGGAACTTGAGCTGAACGTTCTGACACATGACGACCACACGAGCCGGGATCCAACGCGGGAGACATATGAGAAGAGCGTCTGGAACATGGCTCATTCACCAGACAGCGCGCAATGGAAGAAAGTGCTCGAAATTCGACAGAAAGTAAAGGATTACAGTACGGATCATCCCACAAGAAGCTGCGACATGAAAGGCTTACCAAAACGAACGTAGACGATGCTCTATTGCAGCAATCCCAACTATGCAAACTCAACAAAGCCAACGACTATGATGTAGGAATTCTCTTACATTGGCTTCTGCATGCTGAGGGAGGAAACGGCTTTCTTGAAGGATTCGAAGCACGACCTTGGAAAAAAGGCGAGCGGCGGGACTTGATATCCATCTGTAGCAGAGCAAGAACAGATAAGTTTACAAGATGGGCGGAAAGAAAGGCGTACCCTTGGCTATACGCGAAAGTGTTGAAGCGTTGGAAGGTGCGACGTCGAATTCGACATGCGTGAAAAGGTAGACACTGACCAGGGAAGAGTAGAAACCAATAAACGGCCAAGAAAAGGTGGGTATCGCCCATCTCAACGACAACTGGTTCGTTCGTCTTGCACGAGTCATGACAGTTATTCTCTCAACGTTGTTGCCATCCATCGCAGTCCTAGGGCTTTACTACGTCAGAAGCCTACCTGCCCACCTTGGCGCAGTGGTCGGATTCTCAGCCATGTTCTCTCTCGCTCTAGAAGTCTTCACCAATTCTCGACCAATCGAGGTTTTCACAGCAACTGCTGCGTTTGCAGCCGTTCAAGTTGTCTTTGTCGGCAGCACTGGCCAGAACTCCTGCGAGTGTTTTGTCTCTCAAACATAACCATCGATTCTGTATTGCCGGAATTAACGTCAGCAATTGCATGATTCAATCTTAGGACAAAATTTGGCATCCTGCCGACATTCCTTAATAAATTCAGCAAGAGATTGAACAAACAAACGCCACCCCAGTTATGTTCCACGCCATATGATATTGCGCTCTCGGGTCATGGGAAAGAATGATTATCTGGGGTTTGGTCGAATGTATAATGTGAGACATTGAAGGCGGGCTGGTCGTATAAATAGAGGGAGATTCCAGAACGGTTTATCTGGCTTCGTATACTTGCATTTATCTGCTCCTCCTGGCAAAGATTTTTGGGAATCTCATCACTGAGTCTTGGTTTGTAGTTCTTTTTGGACGCTTTACGATGCAGTCTTATGAAATTTTGTGAAATAGCTCGTATGCGTATTGTTGAGTGAGTGCGGAAGCTGCCAGCCCCCGACTAATCATCCCTTCACCGCTAGTATCTTATTTCCCGGTCCATCTCTTCTCCGCCCACCTAAACAATGGGATTTGCGAAATACGCGAAGTCTTCTTCAATATCCTCGAAGGGACAAATTGGAAAGTAGAATCGACTTTGCATGAAAATGCCATGGCGTGTTGAGATAGGTGGCAAGGAACATGCAGAGCCTGTGGCTTCATGGATAGGTGATTTGTTGGTGGTGTGGCAAGACAGGGAGAAGGTGGAGGCATGGTGTTTCATTTGACCACACCCCCCCGTTTCCCTTCCCTGAAGCCTGAAGCGGGCTTTTCAGTATCTCCAAGCCCGACTACAACGATAGGCAAGTGTGACTATGGTTCCTTCCTTCTCGTGTATGAAGCTCTAGCAAGGAGGCCGCGTCTCAGCGCATCCGGGAGGACTGTTGTGAAGACTGGCAGTTGCGCACCTGTCCGCCAGTATTTCAGACATATGTATTTCTTTTCGTAGGTTTCTTCTTGTTCTTTGGCAGACCACATTTTCGATATGGTACGCATAACTTCTTCTACCCACTACCGTTTTTGTGCGAGGTACACCCTCTCGAAGTCGTAACCACCCGACATCCTCCCAGCCTGTATTCTCTTCCTAGCACGCTCTTTGGGCCACATCGTCTCCGACCCTTGCACCTCAGCTATTTCCCCCCTACAGCATCTCTAAATGCACTGCATCTCGTTTTATGTACTTCGTGTGGCTAGAGCGGCAATTCCAATTGTGTTCAGTGCTCATTCTTGCTGTTGTTGTAGCCAATCGAAATCCCCCAAACCCAAACGCACATAGGTTCTTGGTACAGCGGTGCCATCGGTGTTCTTATCGGCTTGCTGGTTCCGGTCGCCGCGAAGCTTATCTGGGTCAATACGCCTTATTCAAAGGCAATAGCGGACGCAAGGGCATGATGAGGGCAGCGGATGAGGGCAGGAAGGCAGCGAAGGAGAAGGAGAAGGAGGTAGAGATAGAGAAGAGGATTTTAGCGGGGGTGAAGAGGAGTGTAAGGGTTGTGTTGAGGAGGAGTTGACGAGTGGGTTAGTGGCGGAGATTGAGGGGGAGCTACGGGAAGATATGAGGCCGAAAGTGTACGCGGAGTTGAGCTGAGTTGGAGAAGAGGTTGAGGGCCGAATTGGAGAAAGGAGGTGAGGGCCGAATTGGAGACGAAGTTGAGGGCCGAATTGGAGAAAGGAGGTGAGGGCCGAATTGGAGACGAAGTTGAGGGCCGAGTTGGAGAACAAGTTGTAGTAGGGTAAGGTATGTGAACATTTCCTTCTTTGAACATCGCAAAATATATCTTAGGTGCCCCATACCCCACCTCACCGCCGATGAAGCCTAAGGCCCCCCCGATAGAACGTCAGGGGGTGGTGCTAACGCGGTTATTCTAAAATGACACTACAGACAATGTATGTGGCAGGCTTGCTCGACCGAACCTTCTTGCTCCCAGCATTTTGTCATCAAGTCTCAAGCTCAACCGCCATCGCTGCTCGTCGTTGAAGGGCTATTTCATCCTCCGTCTGACTGTCCTTCATATTGAGCGATGCAACCCCTCTTCGAGACCACCAGTCTCCAAAATCCATCTTCTCCAATACATTTGAACACCCATCGTTCTTGAACTCAGATTTCGAAAAGCCCATGACCTTTGACCGCGATCTTCGCAATCGCCAGGTACCCCATCCACCCCGTAACAATTTTGAGTGTTTGAACCACTGCCAGAAGCTGTTCGAAACAAGCTTCGTATGCGAAAGCCCTCTTACACAAGCCTTTGAATCTTTATATTGGACGTTTCACTGACGCCTCGAAGTCATTGTGGCAACTTGAGGCTAAGTTGCTCTCTCCTCTCTCTCGCGGTCATGTAAGTATAGTTAGATGTCGTAGATAAACAAACGTAAACCGTTGAAAGCACCTATCTCTTCTGTACGGCGCGCGTGTTATGCCAATCAACGTCTTCAAACAAAGTCTTCGAGTCCCGACCTGCTTCTACGTGCGGAATGTGTTTAAGTATCATTTAAGGCCCTGACTCGTTCGAATGCATTCGGTGTAGAATAAAGAAGTAGCGTTTAGAGGGAGTGACGCGCGTACTTTCAAGGATCTTTGGTTGTTGGGAGTAAATGCAGACAGATTGAACAGATGCGCCGTTAGTAGGCTGTAGGACATTCGGCCAGCACGCCTACCATCGACAGCGCTTCCAACGAGGCGTATTACTGTAAGATTAGGCGATTTTAAGGCCTATACAGGTGAGATGTTGGTTACATTCGTACAGCAGAGAGGAGGAGAGGTACTGTTACTGTTACAGCCTACATAATCTGTACAAGTAGTATATTTTAATTTAAGTTATGTTGTACTCTATTTATAGCGACTAATATTATAAAATTTTAAAAACATAAAATTAAAGTCTAAATAACTACTACATAACTATTTCTTTTTTAGTAATATAAGAAAAAAAGTAAAAGCTTATAAATTACTAACGTACCTAACAGGTTGGCTGGCCACACAGGTTAGCCGGCTACTTTTGCTAAGCCCCTACTAAACTCTACTTATCTACATAATGCCTTAACAACAACACTAGATTAAATCTTTTAAAGAATGTTAAATATAGCTTACTTTTTAAGCTTTTAAATAAGACTTAAAACTCTTCTTATAACACGCTGCAGCTATTTATAATGTTTTTTATATAACACTAAGTAATTAACACACTAGACAGCCTTTATAAGTAAAATACTAGCCTAAATTAAGAAATTTAACTAAGCTTAAAAAAAAAGTAGTTATTAAGTACATACTTAAGCTTATTACATATAAATTTCCCTTTAGGCTTACAGGTATAGCTAATATAGCTAATTCCTTACGCATAGAGTGTAATCTAGGCTAGGTTAGCTTAAACTAGCCTAGTATATAGGTTAAGCACTGCTTTAAGTTTATAATAAAGTTTAATTATAAGTATAATTATAAAAAAGTGCTTTATAAAGATCTAGAGGTTATTTAAAGCTAGTTTTACCTAGTAGCTAACATAAAAGCTAAGTATAGTATTTAAGATAAAAACATGTATAACTTTAATAAGTTAAGCTTTATAATAAGCTAAATATTAACTAAAGCAGTTATTACAGCTTTAAAAAAATAAAAATAGCTAAAAGTAATATAGTAAGGTAATAAGAAGTAAATAATAGTTATCTAAAGCATTAATATAATAAAGTAAGCTATTTTACTTTTTATTATTTTTAAGGGCTACTATTACCTTTCTGCTTAGTATAAAAAGAAAAATCTACTTTAAAACTAGGTTATTATAGTCTTTAAAAACAGCTAAATAATAAATAAGCTTAAGCTATAGTAGTTAAAGCACTTTAATAAGCATATAAAAAAAAAGTTATAAGCGCTTATTAGCTTTTTATTATTAATAGCTATAAAAGCTATAACTTACTTAATTTCTAGTAGTACTATAAGAAGAACAAGATTATTACTATTTATATACTTTTACACTTATTACACCTTTTACAGCCTTTTAATATAGGTTGTTTTACTCTTTTAAAGAAAGTATATAGGCGCTAAGCTAAAAATCTTATATGTAACTAAATTACTTATATTATAAAACTTAAGTTCTTACTATGCTTTATACGCGCTTATAATATAGTAATTACTTTTAGTAATATCTAAAAAGGGTTTTAAAGCGCTAGGTTAGTCCTATTTAACTTAAAATAAGTTAAAATAGCCTTTAATATCTAGTTATATACTTTATTACTACTACTACTACCTATTAATAATAAGCCCTAGTAGTTATAAACTCTAAGTAATACTTTTAAATTTAAGTTATAATTAATGCTTATAAAAGTAAAAGTTTAGAAGCATATAAATAACTTACTAACATTTATAGTAAAGGCCTTTAAAAAGGTTTTAAAAAGAGTAGCAATTATTGCGCATAAGCTAGTGTTAGTGTAAAAAGAAGTTATAAAGCTTTAAGTAGTAAATAAGGCTGCTACACAACATAAATTACATAAAAAAAAGTAAATTTAAGTAAAAAAAACTTTAATAGTTAAAAATAAAGCTTATTCAACTACTTTAAAAGAGTTTAAAGCGCGTAGTAATAGAAAGAAGCTAAAGACATAAGTGCGCGCTAAAAACAAGTAAGCTAAGTTAAAGGTAATATAGGTAGTGTAATTAAACTAGGCATAACTTGCGTATGTGTAAGTAAGTAGTAAAAGTAAACCTTAAATAATATCTTATGTTATATTACTTTATATAGGGCTAAAGTAGGCTGTTTTGCGCTAGAATAGGGTGGTTTTAGTGGGGGCTTAGCAAAAGTGGCTGGCTAACCTGTGTGGCCGGCCAACCTGTTAGGTACGTTACTTGTTTTTTAAACTAGTTCTGTTAGAGTTAAATAGCTTTAATTATTAGTTACTATATAACTAGCTACACTAAAACACCTCTTACGCTAGTAGCTAGGATAGTAAGAAAGTTAAAAAAAAAAAGTTAAAAAAATAAAGCAAGCTGTCTGTACGTAAGTACGGCTTAATTAGGTTGCCTGAAACGTTAGCTATCTAGCCTGTGCGTTAGGGGCTATGTGTACTTAAAAGCCCTCTTTCTTTATATAAAGAGAGAGGGCAGTAGTTAATAATAAGAAGATCTTTACCTACTTACCTCTTAGTACGCCCTTTAGGCGTACATTTGTTTAATTAAACCTAGGTTAACTAACACTAATTAGTCTATTAATAAACTATTTACTGCGTGCGTAGCTACGCAAAGGATATTATCCTTAATAAATAAATTTATAAGGATTAATAAAACGGCTACTATACAAACAGCTTACTCCTACTGCGTGTGTAGCCACGCAAAGAGGGCTTAGACAAGCATTATGCGCGCCCCTAGATTAACTAATTACATAAAGACAAGATTAGCAACCTGCTGTGTGCGTAGCTACATAGAGAAGGCTTACTACTAAGCCTTTATGCGCCCTAGAGCCTCCTGTTAATACAGGCTGTGCAACTACTTACCTACTGCGTGCGTAGCCACGCAGAGGAGACAATACAGGCTGCATAATTAGAAACCTACTGCGTGTGTAGCTACGCAGAGGAGGCTCCTTATTAGCAGCCTACCTTGCTAATATCCCCTCCTTAAGAACAGCTGTACAAACACACAACCAGCACTACCCACCCTCTACCCCACCCCCTAGACAACAGCTGTACAAACACAACTAGCCTTCCCCCCCCCTTCTCCCCTCTTCTTCTAACAGCTGTATAAATAAGCAACTAGCCCCTGCCCTAGAGCTAACCTACTACTCTGCATAACAGCTTGCTCTTTAAGAGCTACTGTACAGTTAACTACTACTACCTAGATAACTACTGTACAAACGCAACTAGCACCTACTCCCCCCTAGACAACTGCTGTATAAATGCAACTAGCACCCCCCTTAGACAACAGCTATATAAATAAAGTAACTAGCAAACTCTTACCTTATTATAGAATACTTATATAATAAACTAGTAAAGATAACCCACGTGTCTAGGACAATACTATAAAAGAAAGTTAACCTTACTTTTCTAGTAGACTGCCTTAACATGTTAATAAATCCCTTCTAAGTATAATAAACTTTATACATAGTAGATACCCTTATCTTTATATGTATAAGAGAGTACAGTCTGTCTAACTTTATAAAAGACTTTAAAGGCTAGATATAATAGGATTTTAACAACCTATCTTATTCATTTAGGCAAGAGCTCCTTTATGCTCTAGCTAAGCACAGGATCTATCTTGTAGGAAAAAGATGCTGTACGCAGGCTAAAAAGCTAGTAGGTGTTGTAAACTAGCAGTACACTATAGGCCCTATACAAAGAAGAAGAGGAAAGGATGTAAGGGATAGTACAAAAGGGGATAAAAAACAAGGCAAAGTAGGTAAGCAACTTAATTTATAAAAATAAAAAGTTGCTAACGTACTTTACAGGCAAGTTGCTCACACACCTAAGTTGCTTACTTTTGCTAAGACCCCACCCTAACAAACTCTATTATAGTCTATAACAACCTGCTCTAGCACTATATAGTACAGTACAGCCTAGAATATTATTTAGATACTACTTTTACTTCTTACTTACACATTTATGTGTTATGCCTAGTCTAATTACACTATCTATAGCGCCTTTAGAATAGCTTACCTACTTTAGCTTGCACCTGCTTTTTTACTTTCTTCCTATTACTACGCGCTTTAAACTCCTTTAAAGCTATTAAGTATAGGCTTTTTTAAATTATTAAGGTCCTTTTTACTTTAATTTACTTTCTTTTATGTAATTTATGTTATGTAGTAGCCTTATTAGCTACTTAAAGCTTAGTAATTTTTTATTATACTAATACTAGCTTATGTGTAATTATTACTACTTTTTTTAAAACTTTTTTAAACACTTTAACTATAGAAGTTAGTAAACTATTTATATACTTTTAAATTTTTATTTTTATAAGCATTAATTATAACTTAAGTTTTAGAGTATTACTTAAGGTTTATAACTACTAGGGCTTATTATATATAAGTAGTAGTAGTAATAAAGTGCACAACTTTATATTAAGGCCTATTATAACTTATTATAAGTTAAAAGAAACTAATCTAGCGCTTTAAACCTCTTTTTAAATATTACTAAAAGTAATTATAGCATTATAAGCTACTTTAAAGCATAGTAAGAACTTTATTTTTATAATATAAGTAATTTAGTTATATATAAGGTTTTTAGCTTAGCGCTTATACACTTTTTTTAAAGAAGTAAAATAACTTATATTAAGTAGCTATAAAAAGTGTAATAAGTAAAAAAGTATATAAATAGTAATAATCTTATTATTTTTATAGTATTACTAAAAATAAAGTAAGTTATAGCTTTTATAGCTATTAATAACTAGTAAACAGTAGCTGCTAACAGTATACTTCTTTATATGCACATTAAAGTGCTTTAACTAGTCTAGACTAAGCTAATTAGTAGTCTAGCTGCGCTTAGAGATTAGAATAACTTAATTCTAAAGTAGATTTTTTTTATACTAGTTTAAAAAGTAGTTGCTACTCTAAAAAATAATAAAAAGTAAAATAGCCTACTTTTTAGCATTAATGCCCTAGATAGCTGTTATTTACTTCTAGTTACCTAGCTAAACTACTTTTAGCTGTCCTTATCTTTCTAAACTTATAATAACTGCTCTAGTAGATATCTAGCCTATTATAAACCTTATTTTATTAAAGTTATACATGTTATTATCTTAAATGCTATACTTAGCTTTAATATTCTTTATAAAGTTAAACTAGCTTTAAATTACTATAGGATTTTTATAAAAAGCTTTTTTATAGTTATAGTTATACTTAAACTTTACTTTAAGCTTTAAGTAACACTTAATAAACATATTAAGCTAGTTTATACTAATATAGCCTATATTACGCTTAGCGTGTAAAGAATTAGCTATATTAGCTATAGCTGCTAGCTAGAGGGGAAATCCTTGCGCATCTAGCTTAAGTATGTGCTAAATAATTACCTACTTTTTATTATTATCTAGCTTCTATAAGTTAGCTATATAATTAGCTTAAAAAAGTTATCTAGCGTGTTAGTTACTTATTATCTTTTAAAAGACTTTATAAATAGCTGTAGTGTGTTGCTTAAAAAGTGTTACATTTTATTTAAAAGCTTAAAGTATAAGCTACATTTAATATTCCTTTAACATGTCTAAGTAGTGTTATTAGAAATGCATTAGTGTAAAAAAAGTAGTGCAGTAAAGTCTTAGCAAAAGTAAGTAACTTAGGTGTGTAAGCAACTCGCCCGTGAAGTACGTTAGTGTTTGTACATAAGTACAGCTAAGTTAGGTTGCCTAAAACGTTAGCTATCTAGCCTGTGCGTTAGGGGCTATGTGTACTTAAAAGCCCTCTTTCTTTGTACAAAGAGAGAGGGCAGTAGTTAATAACAAGAAGATCTTTGCCTGCTCACCTCTTAGTACGCCCCTTAGGCGTACGTTCGTTTGATCAAACCCAGGTCAACTAACAAAAAATATAAAATTTAAATTAACTAGATAAAGCTTATAACATTAATAGAAGATAGTTTATAACAGTAATAGACATTTCTAAAATAAATAGCTTAAAAATCTTAAAAAAAAATCTATGTTTTTATAAAACTTTTAGCTAACTCTTTAAACTTTTTTAAACACTTTTATAAACTTACTACTTATAAAAGCTCTTCTACTTTTTTAAAATTACTATATAAACTTCCTAAAGAGTAATACAGTCTGTACTATGTGCTGTGCCTAGGTTATTATTAAACGTACAGTACGGCTCACGAACATGGTACGTTTATACTAATCATGTGACCGTTACAGCTCATTTTGAACAGACTGTAGTACGGCCCGTTAGAAGCCCTAACTATCAAGGGCGAAATCATGCAAATAGTATTATTGTTTACCAGCTTAATAGCAACATTATGGCTTAGCATTGCCTTCAATGTAATTTTTCAATCAAGGTTCCAACGATCAAGATACAGCAGGTATTAGTATATGTTGTCATTGATTGCATGTGAATCCGTGCGGGGCAAATCTAAGAGAGTGTACCAAGGTACCATCTATAGGCTTCTCAACCACAATTTCGGCCCAACAATGGCTACCACACTGCTGCCCATGAGAGTGCATATGGGCTTTCCCAAAGGACGAAACCACTATATGGCCTTAAAATTCTCCAACAGAGGTCTGTTAGACAAAGTAATCGCAATTGAATTTATGTACAGTTTTTATTAATGTTTCGTAAGGCTAAGCCAAAATGGTACCCATAAATTCTTAGATTATTGCGTGGCAGTGGGATCACTTATCTCCCTGCTGTCATAACTTGCTCACTAGCGGCATGGACTTTGGACGTGCGACGTCAACATTTAAAAGGACCTCCCCATATCGCACTCCAAGGATAAAACACGCCGCACGAACGACATCATGGATCCCCAACAGCGCGGTAGGTCGCCCTCAGCGGCCCAGCGCGCTCATATAAGACACGCACCGTCCCCGTCCCCTCATGCGCCATTTCATAACGCCTCTGGCTTGGGGCTTGATCAATCGCTCCCCCCCCGAAAAAATCCCTCACCAGTTAGATATTGAAAAACTCTCCTCCAGCCTCTCAAGGGGTAAAATATCAAACCAGAAACAGTCACTTCACTCTACGATACCCCTCTATGCTAAAAAGGACATGGGGACGTTGCAAAACTTGAGACGGATTTCGGCGATGCGTAACGACCCACCGCCTCCTTATACCTCCGAGTTGCCTACTAATTCCGCTTTCAACGACGACCTTCTTTTGAACGGTTCTCAGGAGTCTCCTTACCCGTTCCACACTCCCAGAGCTTCTATCACACAACTTCGGAAATATCTGATCGAGATAATTGCGTTTACGTTCGGTGCCGACTTCGGGCAGCTAAACTCCATGCTTGATCAAAATGCAGACGTTGCTAGCAGAGGAACCACGATACTCAGAGAAGAAGAAAAAGTCGAACTCATGCGACTATCTACCCTTGTCGAGAATTTACGCCAAAAAATGCTCTACAATCAATTCAACACCACGCTCAAGCGTGACCGAGATATCATCACGGACGCTATCATTAAACCTGCAATAGAGATTAGTCTCGACCCAGACTATGCCATGGACCTTATCAGCACATACGCGGATCATCAGGGCGATCCGACTAAGCGAAAATTCACCCTAGTATCACTTTACACTCCAATGTTTCTAAGGTTCAAGCCGTATCCTGCTACGGTGGATTTGCGTAAAACCTTGATATCGCATGCCAAGGTCATTAGTGCGATTTCTCTAAACGAGTCCATACAAGTTGCTTTGGGAAAAGCTCTTGCAGACTTTCAGGAGAAGCTAGGCTTCAAGACGATTCCCGATGTGTACAACGATTATTGCTGGCCTGTTCGTATTGGGTTTTGGAATTTGAAGAATGCTTTGGAACCTTTGGACGACTACTAAAGACGGTGGCAAGGTGCTGCAAGCATAGAAGGATGGAGTACTAGGACGGCGGGAAGTTGTGGTGATATGAACGGCTTGGGGCCTCATTGGCTTGGAATACGACTCATTGACACTAGGCTCTCTTTCCCTGTCATAGGTCTTCACTACTCGCCTGTCTCTGCTCATTTTAATCTCAACTGCTCTTCAGTTTACATGGTAATCTTCTTGATAGAAATCCCCCTCAAGTTTATTAGGGCCCCTTCAGGCATGGTCGCCCAGCGAGGCAACAGGCTGCTTTTGACTTGTCCATAACCCCGGCATTCCCCTTTTCATCCTCGACCACATCTTCCCTCCATTCCTCTCCGTCCCATTCTTTCTCTTTGGTCTCGGCTTCCCGTGCTCTGCATGAGCGCATGCTACCTGTGACAGCCAACCTCTCCTTTCGCTCCTGCTTCGCCACTCGTGTGGCTCTCTAGTGAAACTGGGCTTACATCAACATTTAGGCGGTTTAAGGCGAATCGTCTTCCCAAGGCTTACGGTTCCACAAGATTGCTGAGGGCCTATTTGTAATTACACGGGCCTAACCCCCCCTTTTGCCGAGACGCTAGCAAGGCTTCCATTGCCGTTCCGTGTGATTAATGTCATGCCAGGTCAATGATCACCAAGACGAGCAGGTATGAGCCAGGACATCGACTTCCGAAAGGAGGAACCAAAGGAACGCAGCCTGTTCGTGGGCAATTTCTAGGCTGAGTGTGATAGACCCCATAAACACTGCTCAATCATGGGGAGGGCGAGGGGACCAGAGCAGCCAAAATTCAAGAAAGACCTAGGTTGCTCGCAGAGTATCGAAAAGCAGATAGAAACTATAGACATGGAGTAACGCCTTTATTATCGGTTAATCGACGGGGAAGGAATATTAGAAATATGCGCAGAAAATACTTTATACATCAATTAATACCCAAGACGTGCCACTTATCCCCGAGAACTAACCCACTTCTAGTTTCATACTAAGTTCGTATACTTAATCACTAGTAATCCAGCGGACGTAACAACTAATCATGAAACACTTAACGTACTCCACAGGCAAGTTAGTTACACACCTAAGTTACTTACTTTTACTAAGACTCTACTAAACTACTTTCTACACTAATATATTTCTAACAACACTGCTTAGACACACTAAAAAAACATTAAATATAGCTTACACTTTAGGCTTTTAAATAAAACATAACACTTTTAAAGTAATATGCTACATGTTAGCTAGCTTACTCCTCTAGATAGCTACACATCTAGTAGTAGGTCCCTTCTCTGCGTGGCTACGCACGCGGTAGGTGGTGGGCAGCTGTACGCTAAGCGTACAGCCTGTAACAAGGGTGAGCAGGCAAGAATCTTCTTATAATTAACTACTGCCCTCTCTCTTCATACAAAGAAAGAGGGTTGTTAAGTACACATAGCCCCTAACGCACAGGCTAGATATCCAACCGTTTTAGGCAACTTAATTTAGCTGTACGCATGTACAGACACTACAGCTATATATAAAGTTTTTTAAAAAATAATAAATAACTAACACACTAAATAACTTTTATAAGCTAATGTGGAGGATAAAATAGCCTGGCAGTAGCTGTTCAGAAGATCGGATGAAGTAACTCTGCTATCTAAGAGAGCTGAAGGCTCTCCTTATATACACTAAGCTTCGGAACATAATATCTCCAGATCCTGAGCTGCGTCCCAGGCTCTAAGCCCGAAGTCCCAGGCTCTAAGCCCCAGCTAAGGCTCTTAGTATATGTAACGATTCTACGAATCGTTCCATCTCAGGTCGCTCGGATCCTATCCGAAGGGTCCCCGTATCGGCCCCGACCATGACTTGACCTAGTCCCCTGCTGTTACCCCTATTCCCTTATGTATTTAGTCGCACCTTGCCCCTGTAGCTAGCTTAGTAGTTTTCTAATATTCTTTTGTACAAGGCCTATAGGTGTTAATAGCATTCCTAGGTTTAGAGTCCCTACGCACTCCTATATGCCTCTAAGTAGATTCCTACTACATTTAGACCTATTGTCTTGCCTACGCTGTTACATTATATTAGAAAACTTACTTTTACTAGTAACAGCTTTATTAATAATATTATATTAATTATTTATTTAACTATGTTTAACTTTAAAAAGTGTCTAATTTAGTTTAAGTTATAGTTTTTACACACTATTATATTAAATTATTTAGTTATTATAAATAAGATTTTAGAGACTTTTTATTAACTAAAGCTTTTAAGTTTAGAACTTTCTATCTCTTATAATTAAAATTGCTTTTAGAAAAGTTGTAAAAAGTGCGCTAAGGTAAAAACTTAGAAACTACTAATAACTTATTAGAATTAAAGATAACTACTAATACCTAACTTTTAACTACTTTTAGACCTTAGTATAAAGCTTGCAACACGCTCTAGCTGTAGCTAAAGTAAAATACTTACTACTAAAGCTAAATAACTACTAACCTTAATAGCTAAACTTTCTTTTATAGGACTTAAAGCTAAAAACCTACTAGATTTAGAGTTAAACTTTAGTAACATAGCTCTTAAAAACTAAGTTACTTAATTAAAAGCTTAAATTAAGTAGCTAACATAATTAAAAACTATTAGTTCTAATTAACTTTTACTAACTACTAAATTACTTTTAATAATGCTTTAAATTACTTTTACTATACTAATAGCAAGGGGCTTTTTAAGCACTTTTAAGCTTTTTTAAAGCTACCTTACTAAATGCACACCTAAGATTAAAAACTTTATAAATAGTAAAAAACTTACATTTAAATAATAGTAAGCCTTTATTATAGATAAACTTAATATTAATTTAGATTACTATTAAAGTAAGTGCGCACGCATAGCGTTAGTATAGAGACACACTGCTAGTATTGCAAAGGAATACCTAGAGCCTAAATACCTAGCTAAATTAAATAACTTTTAGTTTAAAAACATAGAAAAAATAATTAAGCTTTTAAAAACTTACTTTATTACTAGTAATAAAGAAACAAAGGCGCAATAAGTGTTTTAAACTTTAAAGATAAGTAAAAAAAAAGCATTTCTTACCTTTAAAGCTTACTTTATTAGTGCTGCTATTAAAGAGTTTATATTAAAGTTAAAATAGTTCTTTTACTTATAAAAAAAGATACTACTTAGCTTAAAAGTACTAAAATTAAGTTTTAAACACACTTAAAAAAGCTTTTTTAAGTTAATAGTAGTCTACTTAATAGCTTATAACATAGAAAAAAGAAACACTTTTACTATTTTAAAGTAAACTGTTAACTACACCTAACACTTTAGTATTAGACTTATTATAGATTAATTTTAAAAAGTTTCTAGTAATATATCTAAGGCAGTTTACTATTCTAGTGCACCCTAACCTGCACCTATGTTAGTACCCTAATCCACCCTAGCTACCTACTGTTAACCTAGCCAGACACCTGCCTCTAAAAGACAGACAACTTCTAGTAACTATTATAATTATAGTAAACTAAAACATTTTACTAGTAATTATTTTATCCCTAGAGTATAAAAAATTAAAGTAGAGTAATAAAAATTTAAAAAAAGAGTTTATAAATGTAAATAACGTACCTAACAGGTTAGCTAGCTACACAGGTTAGCCAGCCACTTTTGCTAAGCCCCTACTAAACTCTACCTATCTACATAATGCCTTAACAATAACACTAGATTAAATCTTCTAAAAAACATTAGATACAGCTTACTCTTTAGGCTTTTAAATAAAACTTAAAACTTTTCTTATAACACACTGTAGCTATTTATAATGTTTTTTATACAACACTAAGCAATTAACACGCTAAATAGCCTTTATAAGTAGAATGCTAGCCTAAATTAAGAAATCTAACTAAGCTTAAAAAAAAGTAGTTATTAAGTACATACTTAAGCTTATTATACATAGATTTCCTTTTAGGCTTACAGGTATAGCTAATATAGCTAATTCCTTGCGCGCAAAGCGTAATCTAGGCTAGGTTAGCTTAAACTAGCCTAGTATGTAGGTTAAGCACTGCTCTAAGTTTATAATAAAGTTTAATTATAAGTATAATTATAAAAGAGTGCTTTATAAAGATCTAAAAGTTATCTAAAGCTAGTTTTACTTAGTAGCTAACATAAAAGCTAAGTACAGTATCTAGAATAAAGACACATATAACTTTAATAAGTTAGGCTTTATAATAGGCTAGATATTAACTAGAGTAGTTATTATAGCTTTAGAAAAATAAGAACAGCTAAAGGTAATATAGTAAAGTAATAAAAAGTAGATAATAGTTATCTAGGGCATTAACATAATAAAGTAGGCTATTCTACTCTTTATTATCTTTAAGGGCTGCTATTACCTTTTTGCCTAGTATAAAAAGAAGAATCTACCTTAGAACTAGGTTATTATAGTCTTTAAAAACAGCTAGATAATAAATAAGCTTAGGCTGTAGTAGTTAAAGCACTTTAATAAGCATATAAAAAAAAGGTTATAAGCGCTTAATAGCTTTTTATTATTAATAGCTATAAGAGCTATAACTTACTTAATTTCTAGTAGTACTATAAAGAGAATAAGATTATTACTATTTACATGCTTCTACACTTATTACACTTTTTATAGCCTCTTAATGTAAGTTGTTTTACCCTTTTAAAAAAAGTGTATAAGCGCTAAGCTAAAAATCTTATATGTAACTAGATTACTTATATTATTGTTAGATATGCGCACCTACTGTCAAGACAGGAGGAACGCTCGACGAAAGCTGCTACATAGTACAAGCAATAAGCTTAAACAGTATGTTGCTGCATTTTGCAGCAAATTGCAGCATTTTGCAAGCTGGTCGCGCATAGGGCAAGTGCGCAAGGGACTTAGATTAGCAAAACAAAAAGCTAAGCAACACAAGTAGAGCAGAAAAAGGATTAATAAATTAATAAAAATAAATAATCATCCTATACATTATATCTAAACCTATTATTTATCTTAGGAAGCTTAGAAACAGTGCTTTAATCTAACAATTAAGAGTCTTAGTGCCTCTATTAATACAAAATAGCCACCCAGCCTCCTTGAGACGCGACAGTCGTCCTTCGAGACCACACTGACTACAGAGCCTAGATGATGCAGCTGCAATTGAGATGTGTAGCGCACAGTATCTGGCCGCAAGTGGATCCTAAGTTAACTATCTAAATAATCTCTAAACTAAGAGCTCTAGAGATGCCGCTAATAGCTAAGTTTTTACTAGCCTTTAATGTTAAAACGCCTACGCACATAAACAAGCTATTAACAAGCAGTGTTAGAGCCTTTAAAGAAGCTATTAAATACTACAAAATTAAGGCTAATAAGTATAAGAGTAATAGACATAATTATAAAAGAGAGTAATTAAGCTTTTAACAGATTATTGTCTTTATCTAGTTAACAGTTAGCCCACATCTGCAGTGTACATGCTGTTCCCTAGATTAACTACTTAGGCAGTAGATTACAAACCTTAAAGCTATAGTAGGTGTTAATAGCTAATTTAAACAAGAACACGCGCACAACTAATATAATACATTTTTAAAGCTGCTAAGAAACACAAGCATATAAGACCTGTAGCTAGCAGAGTATAATTACACTGCTACAGAAGTAGAGACACAAAATGTTCTAGAAATAATGCAGTTTAATGCTATTACAAAGGACTTTCTAACTACTATAAATAAAGTTGCCTCTTATTAGTTTATAACTTTTTAGAAAAGCAGACAGTTTACACTAAACATAAATTAAAAAGAAATAATAAAGTGCTTTTAAAAACACATAATATTAAATTATCTAATACATATAAAAAAGCATAAAGCTGCTTTTATAATAAATAACTTATTATATTTTACTAAAAGTAAGAAAACTACTTAGGGCACAAATAAGAACACCTGTAGTGCAGAAGTTGTAATGTTAAGAAAATAGAGTAAACCTTAATATTAACATTATTAAAAAGATAATAAGAAGTTATTTTTAAGCTAGAA